TTTAAGATTGGACTCCAACTCCCAGAATCCTTCAGCTAACACTTTTAAGAGGGGTAGACTACAACTCCCAGGATTCCCTCAGCTAACAATGGTTTCAGATGGGTGGACTGCAACTCCCAGAATTCTTTGCTGGCTGAGGAATCCTGGGAGTTGAAGTCCACCCCTCTTAAAGGGGCCAAGCTGAAAAGCCTGGCATTTGCACAACTTGCTACCCCGAGTTAGTCACACTCCACGCCGTGACATGCCCTCCAACCTTACAGCCCGCCTCCCTCCCAGCCCTGCAGCTCCAGCACCCCACATTCCGCTCCTGCCTCCGGCCCACGCGCGCCCCGGGGAGCTTCCACGCCAGCGGCAGGTCCTTCCGTTCCAGGTCAGTCCATCCCAGCTGGGCCCCTAACAAAGATGGCCGCTCCGGCGCTAAACCGGCCGCTCCATTTCCGCTTCCTCTCGTCCTGATTTGAATAACGTTCACATTTTCGCCGTTTTCCCCCTCGCGGGCCGGTCACGTGGTAGCGGCGAACAGCCTCCTGGGAAGTGTCAGCCTCGCCCTTAACAAAGATGAACGCTTCAAGAAGGTACCAGGCTGAAATAAACCGCCCGAGCTCAACTTATTTTCACGTCTCCGGGGTCACCTTCGCTCTCTGTTGCAGAAATTTTGGTTTTCAATATGGATGCTGTCATATTTCCTAGGAAAAGAAGCGAGGAGAGGAAGATTCCCGTAGCAAAGATGGCGGACGAAACGGCGCCAGCGGCTACTTCCGGCCCCCTTCGAAGACTCCCCAGGCAACCGGAAGTGGTCATTCTCCCTGCCCGGAGGGAGGAGGGCGAAGATGGCGGAGGAGAGCAAGAGCAAGGGTGGGCCGGTGGCGGCGACTCCGGCGGGTCCTGCCGGCGGCGGCGGGGCGGCGAAGCCTTTGACTCCCGAGCAGGTACCGCGTGGGGCGGGCCGGGAGCGAGCCGGTCGGCGGGCTTCTGGGCATGTGCAGAGCGCCCAACCGAGCATGAGGCGGCGGTTGGATGCGGTTGCCACGGGCGACGGTGCCGCTTCTCTCCGCTGAGCATGTGCAGAGCGCCCTGAGCCCGTTTGCTCGGCCCCCACCAGGCCTCCCCCGAGGCTCTTAGGAGCCTTTATTATTCATTTTGATTTTATTTTTTATTCACTATTAATTCTCTTCGGCTGCCTCTCTCCGTCCATGACTCTGGGCGGCTTAGAACTCAAATCTGGGCCTGGAAGGTTTAAACTGGGCCCTGAATTCAAGGGGGGGGAGGGAGGAGGGTCATGGAAATACAGGTAGTCCTCGACTTACAACCATTCCCCTTAGATTCCAAGTTACAACGGCGCTGAAAAAAAGGGGCTTATGATCATTTTTCACACTTACGACCGTTGCAGCCCCTCCCCCCGGCCACGTGACCCAAATCTGGACATTTGGCAACTGACATATTTATGACGGTCGCAATGTCTCCCTGGGTCACGTGGTCCCCTTTTGCGACCTTCTGACGAGTGAAGTCAATGAGGAAGCCAGAGTCGCTCAACAACCGTGCGACTAACTTAACAACGGCAAGTCCCCTTCGGGGGGAAAAGGGCAGCATATAAATGTAATAAATCAATTAAATCAATCAATCAATCATTCACTTAGCAACTATGGCAAGAAAGGTGGTAAACTGGGGCAGCGTTCACTTCGCTGTCTCGCTTAATGACATAAACGTTGGCCTCATTCATGGTCGTAAGTCAAGGACAACCTGTATAGAAAACCAAGATCTAGTCTTCTATTGAGTCTATGGAGGGTTTTTTGTCTTATTTTTAATTTGTTATTTTTAATGTTATTCATTTTATTTCTCAATGTCATATTTCATTTCATTTCATTTCA